ATCCAACTGAGGTGATGATCTTGGAGTCTAATGATTACATTTAATATCAGCAATATCTATTTTATTGCTAACCAAGATGAGATGGGAATGGGTGAGAAAAAAGAATGGGTGAGAGTGGTAGTGGGGGGAACTGGGAGTTACTGGTGGGAAAGAAATGCAGATAGAAGAAAGATGGAGACACACAGAGAAAGAAAAATGGAAAAGGAGAGAAACATAGGGCAGAAATAGTGGCATAAAGGTGGGAATATTTTCTGAGAGTAATATTGCAGCCACATTCAGTATCAATGAGATAACTAACATTTCAGTTACAAGCTATATTCTACCTTAGATCTTTGTGCAAATATCCCATTGACACCTGCAAGAAATTCCCAGTGGATTAAGGATGGTCCATACTCCTACATGTAGGCTCCAATCCATAATTTAGAAACAGAATTTGGCCCTCTCCAAAAATGAGTTTGACAACTCTGTTACAGAAGCAGAGATATGTACATTTGGAGGTTTGCATGAGATCAACTTTTTTTTTGGTGGGGACAGAGGCGCGGTTGTTCTTTCATGTCTGCTTTTCAAGACACAAAGGTTCAATAGTTGTGACATAGGCTTCTGTGCCTTGGGAGAAGGCTGCAGTTTATGCATTGCTTTTAGTACAGCCTAAAATTACTCCTGAGGGAATTCTGCACCACTGCATGTGTGCAGAATTCATGTCCCCTGCAGATTTCTTTGCTTCCCAGCAGAAAAATGACTTTCTGACAGGGAAGCTGCAAGAGCAGTCACACACTACTCCCTAGCAGCGCAGGTACATCACTTCAGGCACCTGAAGCAGCCGGTGGAGAGGTAAATCATCACAGGGCTGGGGACAACCCAGCCAATGGCTCCTACCCTGAGCTGGGATCAACTGCTAGTCATGGCTGGGCTGGAGGCAGGAGAGGATAGGACTTCCTCTTCCCCTTCAAGGAATAGCTGGGGCTGTGTCAGACTCACCCCCAGAAACCTCCCCCAGGAAGTTCAGCACCCTCCCATGCTTCCTGCCCCCATCGCTCCTCAGCTGTGGGGCAAGGGGTCACTGTATGAGGAGCTGCTCCCCCATTCATCCAACCCCCGTGCATCTGGACCTCCCATACTCAGACACTCCCGCTAAGCCTAACCCCGTACACCCAGAAACCCCCTAACCCTCCATACCCAAATCCCACCCCACTGAACCTCAACTCCTGCATCTGGAGCCCACCTGCACTCAGCCCCCTGCCTCTGGACCCCCACCCCTGCACCCAGACCACTCCCCACTGAGCTCCCCGCACTCAAACCCCCACCCTGATGCCCCACCCTCTGCACCACCCTGAATCCCCACATCCAGACCCCCACACCACTGACTCCCAACTAGCTGCATCCAGACCCCCACCCCATCAAGCCCCACTCCCCCAGCACCCAGACCACCCCCATTGACCCCCCCATGCCCAGACCCCTCTGCTGAGCCCCAACCACCTTCACCTGGAAGCCTCTGCAGAGTCCCATTGCCCCTGCACCTGGAACCCCCCCAATGAGCCTCTGTGCATCCAGATCCTCCCACACCTACACCCCCCACTGAGCTGCCTGCACCCAGATTTTCCCACACAGAATCCTCTCACCCCCACACCTGGATCCCCCCACCCTGAGTTCCTCCACACTTGGATCCTGCCTGGTTGAGCCTGCCTGTCCCACACCTGGTGCACCTGGCGCAGAGGGGCAGGGCCCCAGGATGTTTCTGGGGCAGGTCCAGGCCTTGTGTCAGGGTCGGGTGCAGCCTCACTCAGGTGTCCCAGGGCTGCGGGGGGAGAAAGGGGGGCTCAGAGTGATCTCCCACCTTCGTGCAGCCAGTGGCCTATGCTCCCCACTGCCATGCTGGATCCTCTACATTTATTTATTCACATATAAAACTTGCAGAATTTTAAAATATTGTGCACAGAATTTTTAGGCGCAGACTTTTTAATTTTTTGGTGCAGAATGCCCTCAGGAGTATTACATGAAAGATTGCATATATATTCAAATCAACAATATTTAAGGTCAGTTATGGATGAGCCAGGTTATATAATCATATCGCTAGCACAGCGACGAGCAACATAAAAATGAATCAGTGCCTATTGATCTGGAGAAGGCCAAAACAATACTTAAAAATCATTCCTGAAGCCAAATATCCAATTGATGAAGACAATTAACAAAACCAGAAACACTTATAAACACAGTTTGGCTTCATCCACAATGGCTAGCCCAGGGGTCGGCAACGTTTGGCACGCAGCTCGCCAGGGTAAACACCCTGTCGGGCCGTCCCAGGCCAATGGGGGCGGCGGGAAGCCGCGGCCAGCACATCCCTCGCCCGCGCCGCTTCTCGATGCCCCCATTGGCCCAGGATGGCGAACCGCGGCGAGTGGGGGCCGCGATTGGCCGAACCTGCAGTGTCAGCAGGTAAATAAACTGGCCCGGCCCGCCAGGGTACTTACCCTGGCGAGCTGCGTGCCAAACGTTGCCGACCCCTGGGCTAGCCAAATCTTATTTGAACTTAGTTCAACCCAGACCAAGTTTATACTTTAATGTTTGCCCCACAAAACATTTAACATACATGCTTAACTTTAAAAATACATATAGTCCCTTTGACCTCAAAAAGATTAAACATGCTTAAAGCATGCGTGCTAAGTGTTTCCAGGATCCAGGCTACAGCCAGAATTGTTTTGGTAATGTAGACAGGACTGTGTCCTCTCTTCTGACAGACTGGCATTAAAGGGGAAGTGTCAGAAAACTGTAGTTATATTTGATCTCATCACATCTCAGGAGCTAAACAGGGTTGGACATGGTCAATATGTGATTAGGTTTTCCTTTAAATTCCCCAGAGTGCTGCAAGGAGTGAAACTGGCGATGCAATAAATTATGCTGTTCCCTTTAAATTAGTAATGAACTAATAATCCCAGAATGGTAGTGGGCTGAATTGGCAACCATAAAAATTCAAAAATCACAAGTCAAACACCCTCCAAAAATCACGAGACTGACTTTTAAATCATGAGTTTTTATTTATAAAAAATAATAAATGTTGGATTCTTTTCATTTGTCTTCAGAGTGCATCCAGGTCCTGTTTTCAAGCTTTTCTTTGAACCAGGACTTTTTTATTTATGTATTTATTTTTAGATAAAAGCTGAGATTCTCAAGTCTGAGTTCTTGGAAGCATTTGATTAAGTAAAAAATAAATATAGTGAAATTCACAATAAAAGTGCAAGGAGGGTGACAATAGAGTAAGGAACCCGGTATTGCTTGTAAGTGCCACTCTTCATAAAACTATAGAGACAAGGTATTGGTTATGACACCTTTTTGCAAGTGTAGGGATGTCATCATCAGCCCTGGTGTTCTAAGCAAATTCCAATTTAAAATTACAATCTGCCTTTATATAGGAAGAATTTACAGTTGGCAAATTATTCAAGTCCTACAACATTGTGTACTGTTGTATTACACTTGCCATTCCAGAGGTGAATGCACCTCCGTGCCAACAAAAATGATCCTGCTATTTAAAATTTGTAAAGTTGGTAAAATATTTTATATTCTTTGGATGAAAGAAGCCAATTCTCAATATTTTATTTCTGAGTCTTCTGATATTTGATATTTTTCTTATAGCCACAGCTCCTGCATTTGAATGATTTTCTCGGTTTTCTTTTTTCTTAATTAAATTTCTAGCCCTTGTGGTTCTGGAGGAAGCTTGAAAATGTGACCTGATTATTATTATTATTAAATGTGCCCATTATTGTTTGAAAAATCTCATTATTTTTAGAGGTCTGACTCATGATTTCTTGAATGCTTGGTGTTGGCAATGCTGTTATACCAATTATTCAGGTTCTCTACCAACCCACACCAAAAAACACGCATTAATTGAAGCATTTTCTAATTTTCAAATCTAGTTCCAATCCACAAATTCACACCAATTTTAAATATCTTTAGTTTACAATAAAATCAACTGCTGCTTTACTGAGAAACAAAAAATAAACCAACCCAAAATCAGTAGCCACCTATAGTAGCAGTAACAGTAGCAGCACCTACCACCTGTGTTCTAGCCATGTAGCAACAAACAAGAGGACTCTCCAAGTGAGCTAACAAAACTGACAGCTAGAATTTGGGACAGAGCAAGTGGTGACATAAAATAATAAAACAGCTTTTAAGAAGCTGCCTTTATCTTCCCCTTTCTTATTTTTTTTTTTTTTTTTTTTAAAGAAAATTCAGTGCTGGTTAAAGATGACGGATTGGTTTCTTGTGTCTCCACCAGCGCTGGTACCTTCAGACCAAAGCTGCAGCATCAGGATGGTTGAGTGGCTGTAGCTGGCATTGCCAGTGCCTGTGCTAACTTGCTCTCCAGGGCTGCCCATCTAACAACTAGCGCTAAATTGTTTCAGCAGAGAACCTGGGGGGAAGCCCATTGTGTGGCATCCATCTTTTGCCAGGTTGGCGACCTCAGTGACTCAAGCCTGTTTGAATCAAGAAGGGATAACAGCAGAGAGCACATCTTTCCCGGGGAAGAAGGGGGGAACCTTTCCACTTTCCAGGTTGCCGCAGTCCAGATGGACTCAAAGGAGCGAACCTCTGATGACTAGCCCCGGATGCTGATCCGGCCGCGGAGGCTAGGACCTGCCAGCGATCTACGCTCTTTGTGACTAGCTACTTCGGACACCGTCCGCTGCGGCGTGGGGCTCTGCTCCTAGATGGATTTGCAGGCTGGAGAAGGAGTTTCGTTTGCTGGGGGATCAAGGCAGGAGGCGGTTGCTAACTGACTTTAACTTTAGGACAATCGGTGCAACTTTCCAGGCGGAGAAGCAGCACTGGACCCTGGAGTTCGGCCAAGAGTTTGTCTCGCCACCCCAAGGAGCCGGGTTTCCTCCACAATCTCCCGCTAACTCAATGAAGCGCCCACCTCCCCAAACTCCTCTCTCCTCCCCCTCTCGAAGAGAACCCCCCTTCGAGCCACTTGAAAGTAACAAAGGAGGCTTTGCGTTACTTACTGGAGGCGGGGGCCAGCCCGTGCACTTGGGCCAGGGATGCACGCCAAATCCTCCTGCTGGCTCGCCCGGGCCGGGAGGAGGGATGGGGGCTAGGGCACTTCGGGTTTGCAAACAAGGGAAGAAGATGCTCTCTCCAGGACAAGAGGCGGAGGGGGCCCGGCCCTCTCTCCCGCCCCCGTTTCCTAAGTAGGTCCCAAATAGTTGCCCAGGTGCAAAAGTGCGGCTGGAAACCCCCCCAAGGAGCACCTCAGAGCCGAGCCCTTCTAGCAAAGTTGCTCTGAGCGCAGAGGGGAGAGAGCCAGGAACGCGTGGCTGAGTCACGGGAAGGCGGCGGCGGCAGCTGCTTGGCGCGTCCCGCCTGCTGGGGGGGGGCAGAGCGAGACTCCCAACAGCTGCAGCAGCCTCCCAGGGCTGCCGGCCGGCGCGCGCCAGCCTCCCCCGCACGCGCGCCTGCCTCGGGTACCGGCAGCTGGGTCGCGCGCCTGCAGCGCCTGGCGCGCAGCCCTTCGCTTTCGTTGGTTCCAAGGAGGCCGCGCGCACTAAGGGACCGCCGGCAAGTGCCAGCCCCGCTCACAAACGAAAAAGCCCCCCTGCGCTGGGGAGAGGGGAACCCCTTTCCGCTCTGCTGCCCGCCCGCGGCAAGCAGCACGGCCGCAGCGGGGGAAAGGCAGGAGCGAGGGGGGGGCTGCGGGGTGACTGACCCCTGCCCTTCCTGCTCAGTGGGGTGAGCCAGGGCTCGCTGCAGAGGCCAAGCCCTGCACAGACGCTGGCCCCGCTGCTAGGATCGCAGACAGTAATCCCCCCTCCAGAGTCTCCTAGGAGGGGGCCAATTTAGATGCCACCTGCGGTGGCCGGGAGCCCAGCACCATCCAGCCATCCTCCTTTCACCGAGACCCAGCTATCCTACAGCATTTAACCGCGGGGCAATTAGTGGGTCCCTTGTGGTTGCAGGCAGTGGGGGCTCAGGAGCACACAGACAGAGGGAATGGTGACCCCTGACCACCTCATGCTTGGTAGCCCGGCATGCTGATCCCAGGCCTGCTCTACACCCAAACTTGGGCTGACCTACGCCATTGCTCAGGGCTGCGGAACATGTCACACCCTCAGCACCGTAGTTCGGTCGACCCAACCCCCGCAGCCAGGTGGATGGAAGAATTATTCCATCAGCCCTGCTATGGCCTGTCGAGGGGGTGGATTTAGTATAGCGATGAAAAAACCGCATCTGTCGCTGTAGTAAGCATCTACACTGCGGCCCTACAGCTGTGCCACTGTATTGCTTTTAGTGTAGACATACCGCAGCTCAACAAAGGACACTCTCTGCCCTCTATCTCAACAGTGTCCATGCAAAGGATCCTGTGCGGTGATACAGATGTATGATTTTGAATATAACACTGTGGGGTAGTGCCAATAAACTTTGCCCTCTATTTTGCATAGTTATTTCAGTTAAATATTGGTGGCCCCCTACACACAGAGCTGCTGTGATATCAGCTCTACTTGAGCATTGGCCTGCTAAACCCAGGGTTGTGAGTTCAATCCTTGAGGGGGCCATTTAGGGATCTGGGGCAAAAATCTGTCTGGGGATTGGTCCTGCTTTGAGCAGGGGGTTGGACTAGATGACCTCCTGAGGTCCCTTCCAACCCTGATATTCTATGATACTTGTTGCCTTTCCAGAAAGAAAATGAGGGCAAACTATACCAGGCACAATGGTGGGTTTGGGGAGAGGCTGTCCCTTCATTTCTCTTTCATCACCATCATGGCAAATCCCAGAGGGATGTGGCCTCCTTTTGTGCCCTGTGCCATCCCCCTCCCCCATTGGTCTCTAGCTATGTCCTTAAGGTGGTCTGGATTGCTATTCAGTTTATGTCCATGACTTGTAAACGTATTGCACCCCTGAACATCTGGTGTCCACATGAGTCAGTCTCCTGCATGTTGGTGGCAAATGTAGGAGTGGAACCTGGAACGTTTGAGTGTTGTCTTAAAGAGCTAATGCTGTTCTCATCAACTGATTGAAAAGCCTGAACATTGAGACCTTTGCTTTATCTGAAGTGCACTAGCCAGGAAGCAGTGAAAAGAGTGGGGAAAAAACCCACAAATATTTTATGACATTAAACATAAACAGCATACCATGTGATTCATTTCATAAATGTATAATCCTCAAAAATAAAAAGGCACATGTTATTTCTATCTCAGCAAGGATGAAATAGTGTGCTGAACACCAGCCATTAGCAGTTTAAGATGACTGCACCTTAAGAAGTTCTCATCTTTTTCATGTGAATTTTATTTGTCTGCGCAAATAGGAGAGACTTGCTTGTCATAGTTTTCTCTGCATTCTTGGATGGTATCTTCAGAAAGTTGGGCACGGTATTCTGTGCTTTCCAAATGCAAAATTGAAGAGTGGTCAAGAGGAGAGTTTTTCCTCTGTGGATAGTTGTAGCCATTACTTGGTGATTTCTCAGATTATACTAGCCACCCTGCATTAACGTTAATGATGATTCTTCTAATTCTTCCTTTAAGTTTTCCTCTATTTCTTTACTTGCAACATCTAGCAGTGAATCTCACTTTCTTACCACTACTGCAGCTCACTCATTCTAGCGCTGAGCTTACCACCACATAAAAGCTGCAACTGGGACACCCTGCAGCAGCCTACCTCGTAAGCAATAAAGGCCCATCAGACATATCACATCTGTGTTCTGACTCCATTTGCTCCACACATTTTGAAAAACTGGCCATAATCTACAAGGACCATAATGTGTTGGGGTCTGAGTACCTCAGAGATTACCTCATTATATGCTCTCCAGTGGGATGCTACAGCTGGAGGGACCCAGAATAAGACTCTCAGTTGTAGGGGACAGAGCATTCTTAGCACTGGATCCACTGTTATGGAACCCCTTTCTTGTCACAGGAGAGTTGACTGAGACCAAGCCTGACTGTCCAGACTGAAATGTAAGATTCACTTTTAAAGTATTCCCCAAGTAATAATTTACTTAAAAAAAAAGAAAAAGAGGGACACTAACCAAACAACACTCCCTGAAACCAGGAGACCATGTTAGAGACGTGTGCTTTTTACAGAACTCTTTTCAGTGCTTAGGTACCAAGGTGAAAGGCACCTTGGAAATAAAATAGATAAGCAGACAGGCCCTTGTCTCCGCCATGTGTGACCCCTTTTAACTCCAGCCCAACACTGCACCTCTGGAGAACGCACATGCATCCTGAGAGGAAGGTATTCTGGGATGTTCAGGGTAGCGATGAAAACCTGCTAATGCAAAAGGGTTAGTTCAACAAAAACTGGGCCTGCATCATCATTTATTTGCAATAATAAAATAGCTTCTCCAAGACACCAGATCAAGAACATACCATTCCATTGCATGCTGCAGGTTTGGGGGATTAATTCCCCCTATCCCTGAAACATTCTAAAATACAATACAAGAAAAATATATCCTCCCCAGGAGATTCCTTAGGTCTTAGGTCCAAAGGGTTTTATCTGAAATCAAACTGCTGATTGCAATAGCTCTAAATGCACTGTGTTTTTGGCTGAGCAAAGTGAGGTCCTACATTCAAGTTGCATAGAGACCTGGGCATGTGGGGGAAGGGTGGAATGGGGGTCACAGAGCCCCTGACGTGTGGTAAAGGGAGAAATGGGGTGGAAGTGGGGAATAGGGAGGCACACAGAGGTGAATAAAGGGAACCTGGGGGTCATAGGAGAAGAAATGGGGAAGCAATGGGGGAAATGGGAGGCACACAGAGCCCCGGCCACAGAGAAGGGAAAATGTGGGACAATGGAATGGATGCAGGGGGATGTGGGGAATACACAGAGCCTCTGGCATGTGGCAGAAGGGAACATGGAGGAATAGGGGGGCACAGAGAACCGCTGCCATGGGGGAGGGGAATGAGGAGTTGCAGGGAGTCACTGAAATAGACAGGGATGGAAGAGTGGCACAGGCAGCTTGCAGGAGGTGGAATGGAGGGATACAAGGAGCCCCTGGTGAATGCAATGAGCTCGGCCTATCCAAACTAGGAAATGTAAGACTGCCCCCCACAAACCCCAGTGTGAAGAAGACAGCTTAGGTCCTTTTTCCAGTAAGATACCCTCCCCTACAGGGTCCCCTCTCTAATGCTGCCTTGCACAACCTCCTTTGAGGGATGCTCACAGTTCAAAGAATGAAGCATCAGGAAAACAAGAAGATAAATCTTGGGGCTGCAAGCAAATTGAGGCTGAATTAGTTCTACTCTTGCAGGAAACGCTGGCACATTTCATTGGCCCCTTTCAGTGAAGCTGCAGCCTGGCCCCACCCCTCCCACTCCGGGAGTAGGTCACTTCTCAGTAACAAAAAGAGACATGCTTTCCAGGAAAGTGAACGCTGCTTGCATGCCGCCCACAGTGCAGTGACCCAGGGAGGGACGCAAGAAACATGTTGTGCACTTCCATTCTCACACTGCAAGCATTGGGCAAGAGGCTGATTCTGTCTATGAATGTAAGACAGTGCTGAACAGCATCATAGGGCAACCAGGATCACTTACAAAGTGGGTTAGGAAAAAGGAGAAATGTTAAGGGGCTGTACAACAGGTAATGGGGGAGGCTGCTCTTCTAAAGGCTCCCACATGGCAAGCACTACCAATTCACCTCACTTCTGTCCTGCAATAACCCCTGCTAGTCCACTCTTCGCGCTAGTCCCAGCACACAGCTCTGCCAAGGCACCTCAACACTTTCCTAGAGCACCCCCCTGCTTTTCCAGTCTGGGCCCCATGCATGTATATGGGGCTCCTTTAATGGATCTCAGTCCTGATCTGTAACACCCCCTTTCATATGGAATGGCAGACAGTGAGGACTTGTCTTCACTGAAGGGTGAGCTCGAAGTAGAACTCACGTGTTGCCCCTAACCGGACTCCCATCCACACACACATTGTCTAGCTCGAGTTAAATGCAGTAGCGTAGCTGGGGGGGATGCAGGGGAAGCAGCTGCTTCCCCTCAGCACATTTTCCAAAAGCGGTGGCTTAGTTAGGGGTTACCATGGCGCCAGCGGGCGGGGCCCATGCTCCGCTCTGAAGCTTGGCCTACCGGGCCGGTGCTGGGCTCCTGCAGGCAAGGGGGGGCAGCACGGGGGGAGAAGCCATGGGGGGGGTGGCAGGGCCAGAGGAGCCATGGGGGGGCCATGGGGGGGCCACGGGGGCGGCACGGCACGGCCGGAGGAGCCATAGGGGGGGTCGCAGCCGGAGGAGCAGGTGGGGGGGGACGCAGCATAGCAGCCCGCAGCGCGACCGGAGGAGACATGGGGCGGGGGGCGGCGTGGCCGGAGGAGCGAGGGT